CGTCAGGGAGACCAGCTCCAAGGAGTCCCTCTCCGTGGACAGCCAGTCCACCACCGCCGACGAGAAGTCCCAGTCGTCCTCGTCCAGCTTCACCGAGATCGACGAGAAGCTCGATCTCGACCGCGAGATTCCCGGAAAGACCTTGGATCGCCCCTACCGCGGCTTCGTCCACCGCATCGCCATCGTCTACCGCCGCCTGTTCACGATCGTCGGGCTCTTCAACATTGGCGCCGTCATCGCCCTCATCTTTGCCGGCTTCACCAGAGACTGGCTCGGTACCCTCACGGCCATCAACCTCCTCGTCGCCGTCTTGGCGCGCCAGGACTTTGTCATCAACGCCATGTACACCATCACCTGCAACGTCCCCAAGTCCTGGCCCCTCAGCATCAGGAAGCGATGCGCAAAGATCTTCCACTTTGGTGGCGTTCACTCGGGCGCGGCTGTCTCTGCGGGCGCTTGGCTGCTCGCGTCAAACATCAGCTCTGAGGTCTGCCAGTTGACCGAGTGCCCCAACTGGGGCCACCAATCCATCGCCTCAAAGGTCATCTCTTGGCTGCTGACCGGATTGTTCACCATCACCATCGCCCTTGCCTGGCCCGGATTCAGGAAGAAGCACCACGACATGTTCGAGAAGACCCACCGCTTCGTCGGATGGACTATGCTCGGCCTCTTCTGGGCGCAGATCGTGCTCGCTGCCAACGACGGCAAGGTCTCATCCATGTCTCTCGGCGAAGCCTGCGTCCGCACCCCCGGCTTCTGGATGCTCGCCTTGGCAACCCTCAGCATCGCGTCATCCTGGTTCTTCCTCCGCAAGGTTCCCGTCGACGCCGAGGTCCTCTCCAACCACGCCGTCAGACTGCACTTTGACTACACTGTCCCAGTCAACGGCAGCTTCGCCCGCCTCTCCATGAGACCCCTCCTCGAGTGGCACTCTTTCGCAACCATCCCAGCTCCCAGGCCCGTGGGAGGGCGCCCCAAGGGATTCTCGCTGGTCGTGTCCAACGCAGGCGACTGGACCAAGAACGCCATCCAGAAGCCCCCCACGCACATTTGGGTGCGCGGTGTCCCGACCTGTGGTGTCATGCGCATTGCCACCTGCTTCAACCGCATCGTCGTCATCGCTACCGGCTCCGGTATTGGTCCTCTTCTCGGCCATATCCAGGAGCAGAGCTGTGCGACCCAGCTCATCTGGTCCACGCCAAAGCCTGAGCAGACTTTTGGAAAGGAGCTGCTGAACAACATCAAAGAGAAGATCCCCAACGCGGTCATCCACGACACCAAGGTGTCTGGCCGTCCTGACCTGGTCAAGATGGGATACAACCTGGCGAAGAGCTTCGAGGCGGAGGCTGTTATTATCATTGCAAACGAGAAGATCACCAAGAAGGTGGTCTATGGTCTCGAGACCCGAGGAGTTCCTGCCTACGGTGCCATTTGGGACTCTTGAGTGAACTTGGATTGGGGTGGAAGCTATGTATCTAGTGAAAAGCGATAAGAGGAGGCATTGGTTTCATTTCATTTCATTCGTATGGTGTCCGGAGTTCTGGGGGTTTGATCTTAGCCTTTGGTTTCACCAGTCCACATGTCACGGCCTATGCATCTAGTTCTCGAATTCACAGTCTGTTCTCTTTTGAAACCCTAGCCCGTCTAAACTCTTGCCTACTTCCCGCTTCGCCACCCGATTTTGAACAATTGAGAAGGCTGCCTGACAAACTTTACTGAGCCCGGTATGCAACATCGAACAGCACTAAATCACATCACTTGGCTACCTTGGTCTTACCAAAGTCCAACTTTTCCCAACTCATGAGGCAACCGCTGACCAGGGCAACGATCCCGCAGGCCACAATGAGATACTGGTTGTTGGCGATCACGTCTGCGACGTCACTCACAGCTGCTCCAACAACCCGCGGATCAGCATCACTCCAGATCTTGGAGTCGAGTCCAGCCAAAGCCTCTCGGATGTCGTGGTCGCTGAAGCCCAGTCCATCGAGCGAGTCCTTCAGCTTATCGAAACCAATGTTCTGGAAAATGCAGCCGGCAAGAGCTAAAGTCACCGAGACACCCGCAAGCTGGAACATGATGAAGAGTGCAGTAGCATCCAGTCGCCTGTGTGCAGGCACGCTTTGCGCCATGACTGATACTCCCGTCTGCCACATGCAACCAACACCCGCTCCGATGAGACTGCTCACGCCCATCACGCGGCTCTCTGAGGTTGTTGCTGTAATCTGGGCTTGGAGGGCGCCTCCGATGATGGTCAGGGCACCGCCAACGACGTAGAACGGCGCATATCTGCCGACGACGGGGATCATGCCTGCCATAACGATGGTGAAGAAGATGAAGGTGAAGATGAACGGGAGAAGCCGGACAGCTGCGTCGACGGGGTCGAAGCCTTTAGTGAAGGCGAAGAACAGAGGAGTGTAGTACAGGGCGATCCCGTAGCTGCCTCCGACGGCGTAGGTGGCGAGACAGACGAGGATGACGGCTCGGTTCTTGAGGAGGTCAGCGGAGATGTTGCGGTGTGTCTTGTCAGTGAGCAGGCAGAACTTCTGCTGCAAGGCGTAGGCGAGGTAGATGACGCCGACAAACACCCAAGCGATGATGGCGGAATGGGATGACCATTCCCATTTGGAGCCGCTGAAAATGAGGGCGGAGCAGAGCAAGATGAAAGAAGCTACGTGCAGAACTACACCCGTCCAGTCAACAACGCGCAAGCCTTCGATGACGGGCAAGGCGCCGGGTGCGTGCATGTTCGGCAGGGCTAGGAGGTTGCAGACCATGATTATGGCTAGCATGGGGAGGTTGATGTACATGGCCTATATGGACTTATTAGATATTTATTTTGCAGTAGTTCTACGTGTGAAGAAATACTCACCCATCTCCATGTAGCTTTGTGGTTCTCGGCGAAGGCACCGCCGATGACGGGACCCAGCGTGAGGCCGATGGCCCAGGACACAGCTAGCAGGCCTTGTGTCCGTGGGAGCTCCGTAGGTGTAGTCAAAGTCATGTTGATGATGATACTCCTGTTGAAAAAGTCTCAGTATCAAGCGGTAGGGTTCTGGAGTGGTTGACTTAAAACGCACAATTGGTATAGCCCGGCTCCTCCGATTCCCTGAATTGCACGACCGATGATCACCGTGTTGATGTTTGGAGCTGCGCCCGACACTGTAGAGCCGATGAAGAAGATGAGAGAATATCCGAGAACCTGGTACCTCAGGTTCCCAAGGACGACAATCTTGCGGGCGAGAGGGACCGTTGCGACGTTCATGGCTGTGTAAGCTATGGCAACCCATGACAGGAGATGGACCTGGCCGAATGCCTCGTATATCGGAGGCTGAATGTTCGCTGTGTTACTGACATCGTAGCCTGTCCGTGGAGTGGGCTGTATCAGTTTTGTACGAAATGTTGTGCCATGATAGGAGATAATACTGACCGAGAAGCAGTCCAACCAGACAGAATGCACCCTGAATACACGGCCATCGCCAAGCTGGCCAACCTTCTCTGGGATGATTGCTCTCTGAAGTGACGCTTTCCACGTCTTTGGCTTCAGGTGCCACACTGCCAACATGGGTGCTCGCGCGTTCGGTGTCATCGACAGGGTCTGGCGTGGGCTTCCGTTCAGTCTCCATGATGAAACAAAACACACAAGAGAAAGACCTTGATTGAAATGACTACACAACCTGAGGAAGCAAAGAGTGCTTTGGATGTTGTAGGATGAAGACGAGCGTGGCACAAAAAATCTTCAAGTCGGGTGTCTACACCAGGCAAATATACCAAATCCACTGCCGTCGAAGACACGGGAGGCGTCGCATTGTTATCTGTGATGAATGGGGGCGGGCGGCTCGATCCTCACATTTCACCAACACCAACAGATTGTCGACATGCAGTTTGCAGCCCGCCGCCCCCAGTCGAGCCACAGCCGCAGACCCCCATGTTCCAGCGAAGCAACCAACGGCGGACGCACATTGCAACGCTAGGTTTTAAAAATAAAGACATTTAACGGGGCGAACCGAAAAAGCCGACGGCAGCGGCAGACACTGTTTGTCGCCGCAAACTCCCCCTCGAATGCTACATTGGGGCCGTTGGCCGCGTGAAGCACCAACAGAACGTTGCATGTGGCGCCAACAAACCCATTCAGCACCACGGCCGGACCAACGTACGTGACGGCCGCCCCCAGTACGCCCGTAAGGAAGGACGGAACACTGTGACTGCGCCGCAATCTGCGATGATTATCGCGACAAACAGAGCACCAATACGGACGTTGCACGCTGAGAATTTTGATAAAGCTCGGGGTTATTGATCGAATTCGTCGATACCGCCGGAGTGTGTGTTCCGCGACAGCATCCGGCAGACGGACACGTAGTTCAAGCCAATCCCGAAGTGCGGAAGCTTCAGCCTGGGCGTTTCACAGACAAATGAGCTTGTTTGTGTCGTTGACTACGTATGATAAGCTTACGCACGGGAAGGAGTTGGAGGTGGCAGACGTCTGGGATGGTAAGCTTACCGAAGGAGGAAGTCTTGTTGCCCAGAGAGAGCGATTCAAGTAAGATTGCTGCATCCGTGACCAGGATTTGATTGGGCCCGCAAAGTACAACACAGCAAATCGGGCAAAAACGTCATGCACGGTGATGATTTGGCTGGTTGCCGAGACCATTGAGGCTCAAGCAGCATTCCTACCCGAAGCTGTCAGATTTTCAAGATAATACCTAAGGTGTGGCGCGGATAGCTCCTGACGTGATAGTCGCACGTTGTTCAAACGTGATCCGAACGTTCGCTTATGGTCGAGGACGAAGATCGCCTGCATCTTTCAGAGATCACTTGACACAGAGTTTGTGGTCGAGACCGGTATCTGAGACTCGGATAATCCACAGCGATTGGATTCGATCTTGCGTTAAGCTACACATTGAAGCTGGCGTAACCTGGAGACAGGCCTTGCGTCGAATACATGTATCCAGCGACTGTAATATGTCCCAGGGTGTAACGTGCCGAGAAACGGCAGAATTCATTCAGTATAAGTACATCTCAATGTCCAGCTCTGCGACAAAGTCTTCCGCCAACTTTAGTCCACAAACCCCCGGTTGCATTGTAGACCTCTGCCAAACCTCGATGACGATGTCCCACGCCAGTCTGAATTCGTGGTCTCCCCATTTGTTGACCACGGCCGAGAAGAGATCTCGCGAAAGAGACCGAGCAATAGTGTCCTGCTTAGTGGATAGGCAAACTATGAAGAGGGGATACATGAGTGCAGCAGCTAGGTGTGGCACACCAGGGAACGAATCACCTTTTGAGTCGATGACAGCTTGACATGCAGCCAATGCCTTCATCTCAAGAAGCTCGTCGCTAAACCCCGCCGCTGCTCTATTCTCCTCATTCTCTGTCGCAGGCCGTAAAGCTCTGGAATGAAGTATTGCCGCAGTACGGAACGCTTCCCACAAGTGAATTTGGACCAATTCACGGCATAGCTCTCCAGGCCAATTGCGAAGCCTCTGTTCAGCGTCAGGAGAGTCCATATTGCAGATGAGGTCTAGAAGAGAGTACGGCAGGCCAGAGGTTTCTTGGACCCCCGTCAAATGCCGCTGAGCAAAGTATGAGGGCCATATCCTAAGCGACTCCGTGCTCCGGTTTAACGTGAAATGCGGAACATCAAGAAGTGCGATGACTTCGATCAGATGACCGACGAGGGGCGATTGATTAGTTGTCTCTAGAAGCTTTCGTTGATGTAAGACGGTATGAAGTCCTTTGAGTAAGGTAGTCCACTTGTAGAGGCCATTTATCTAACCGCGCAATCGTCAGACTCTGTCATGCGTAGAGTTCATCGAAACTTACGCTAACACTACATAAGAGAACTCCCGTGGCAAGAATTTCGTCTCGATGAAGGTCGTCTGGGGATTGAAGGTCTTTGATGTAACCCGATATACCAAGCTGTAGATAAACCGGCATCAGATGCCTGTATTCGTTTGTCAGGCTCGCCTGATATGCTGCGAAGGTATTGCAGAGCGAGGTCGAAGTCTTTCTCATGGGTAGAATGTCTGACTTCATGAGTCCTCCGTCGCCAGACCTTCCGGTCAAAGTCAGATATCCGCTTTCGCAGACTATCGAAGTCAGCCGCCCGTAGAAAGTTCCATTGAATGGCACTAGCATACATTGATAGACCAGCAATTCCGTTATCTTGCCATCAACTGCTGGAAGCAAACCCTTTTCAGACGGACTTCTCGACTTGTCTGAGGCTGTCATAGAAGAGCTTTGACGATCCTCGTGCGATGTAGTGTCCGAACTACCGCTGTCAGCGATGGTCTGCACGCTTTCTCCCAACTTCTTTCGCTGTTGTGCGACCCTTCTACTCAAGCTCTGCGGGCGGACTGGCTTGAGGATGATGCCGCCTTTGGAAGTCGTTCCGCTCGATGATCCCCAGGTCAATCGAGTCTCATAACCTTCGCATGCAAGGTTTGCATGTGCGCATCGGTTGCAATTCGGCTTGATCTCGTCGCACTTTTTACGGCGCCTCTTACACGTCCAACACCTGGAGCAAATTAGTTCTCGAAAACTTTACCCCATCAACTAGGAGCCGGAAAGATAGGCGGGAAAGGGGAACCGCAGCCGTATCCACCTTTGTGATGTGCCAAGGCACTTTGCAGCGCGGAGCCTCGGTGCTGCTCAAGCAGTTGGATGAGATGTCTTACCCTCTTCGAGATCTGGAACCGGGAGTAGTGACTTCGGACACAAGCCCAGAGTTTAATGATGACATACTGGCCATGGCGGGTGCTCTCAAGACGAGCTACTTGACGCTTGTGATTGGAAATGTGAAAGTAGAGTGGCGTATCTTTTCTTTTCAACGCGCTGCTTTTAGGGAGCTCATAGGCGACATGCGGTGCTAAAAATTGCGGGGAACCCGGTCAATGTTAGCGGCATGCGGTAAACTCGGGCTCCGAGTGAAGAAGTGACTTGACGTTTGCCATCTATCGATAGTCCTAACTGCTCTACTCTTGATATTTCTTGATCCATGAATGTAATCTAAGTGACAAACTGTATTACCAAAGCCTTTAATTCTATCCTTGGTCGTGATCTCAACTCTGCATGTGTCTAAGCCTTCGCTACCATCAGCGCTAAACAGTCCGAAAAGGGGTCCCAGCAGGCGGTGAACTGCTGCATCGGTACGACGAAGGCTTCGACCCGACGGTTCAAAAAGCAATAGACAATTATGTTCCATGCTATTGCCACTGATGTGAGGTAGAGCTTGGAGTCGCGTCGACTTCAAATTGAACTACAAGAATTCACAGGCTTGTTGTACAGGAAACACACTAGCGCTGCTTAGGTCCCAAGCCACCAAAAGAGCAATCCAATTGGATCACGCAAGAGGCCCCACTGATCCGTCTTTTATCCGTGCCTGCCCCTAATAAGTTCACATTCTCTACTGACGACGTGAACGATCAACATCTTGGGCCAGGTTCCAACTGACCACCCTTGCGTACGGTGGCCACATTCACCTAGATCCGCCAATATTCTACTTCTTCGAGGGTAGGTTTCGAACTGTACAGCCGTCATATGAGATTCGCGCAGAACTTGCTAACAATATCCTTAGCCCATGTGCAGTCACGGCAACTCAGTTCACACCGACCCCTTTCACCACGACGGCAACGCGTCATCGCCAGAACAATCATGGTGGAAGCTTCCCTACTTGTTCCGGAGCTATGGATCGAGATAGCCCGACACTTTCGCAGCAGATCAAAGACCAGGACGGCAGCCCTTGCACGGGTCAATCGCTACCTTCATAGCATCTTCCAAGCCGAGCTTTATCGTGCTGCTGTCAAACATTGGGCCTCTGAGATCACTATTTTCGCCGCTGCCAAGGGCAATCTGGAAACTCTGCAGGTCGCAGCCAAGTATGGTGCAAGACTCCAGGATTTCTATCTCGCAGACCCAACAGAAGAAGTGGAACACAGATGGGCGTCCGCACTCCGGGAACATCTCCCACCCCAGGCTTGCTGGGCCACACCTCTTCATCTGGCAGCGCATAAAGGCCATTACCATGTTGTTAAATGGCTTGTTGCGCAGGGGGTAGATATCAACGCCGCTGGAAGACTTATCTGCGACTGCAGGCCTGTGGGGAGTCGTGTACCAGTACCCAGGCCTCTCGCAGACCATCGCCACCCAATGTCCGATTACCCTGCTTGGACACCTCTACACCACGCCATTTGCGGTGGACATACTTCAGTTGCCAAGCTTCTACTCATAGCTGGGGCCAATCGCAACCTGATCGTACCGGTTGGGTCCGCCTCGTACCCAAAGGAGTTCCCAGAGTTACAAGATAGCGAAGCAACCGAACATGGCGACCAGCATAAACCTTTCGCCTGGTTTCATGATCCAGCCCGGAAAGCCTTCGTCCAGGATATACACCCAATTCACGTTGCAGCGGCATTCGGCAACAGGTCTCTAGTCAAATACCTGACGAGAGAATGGGGTGTGGACATCGACAGACTAGATGACAATCTCGCGACACCGCTACACCATGCCATTGCGGCGAAGAACAAGTCCATGGTCGTGTACTTGCTGTCTCACGGGGCTGACGCGACCAAGCCATGGCAACTCCGTGTGGATAACGATGCCGTCGTGTCACACCACAACGCCCTCGACTTCGCCCTCGCGTTTGACGCTGACTGCTGCTCTGCCATACTGGAAAAGGCAGGAAACACAACATGGATCGAAACTGTTGATGATGACGGGCATGTCCGCTTTGAATCGAGCCTGAAGCTTTCACTCGCGGCATTTGCCTTCGAGCCAATGCACGGAGAGCATATCTACACGTTGAGAGGTTACGCGAGAACGGCGAACGCAGACTTGATGAATTACGTGAGATATCCAATCACATCCATTGAGAGCACCTTTTACAACATCCTCGACAAATTTGTTGACTGCACGAAGGAAGAAGCCCCTCGCATGGGAGCTGGATGGGAAGGCCATTTTCTTGCTGAAATGCAAGCATCCTTCATTATTATGTGCATCATCGATTGCGTCTATTTGAATCATGATGCGTACCTAAGGAAGCTTCTTGGTATGAACCATTTTGGCATTGACAGCCTTTTTCCGAAGGAAAATTTGCTGCAATTGATCCAGCTTGTTGCGAAGGGTATCCCCGATGTCCCGTCCCAATGGCTGCGTCCTATCGACAAGGATGTCGAGTCTTTATCGCAATGCCCCATCGGAACCCTTGCAATTGTGTTTCTGATAAGCTCAACCCGTATTGAAGGCATTAGAGGTGAAATTCGCCGAGTCGAATTACTCATTGAAATAGGTGCAAAGTTGGCAGTTGACGACCATAGTACCATTGCATGCTCGCCGTTGGTCGTACTCCTCACTCGCTTGAAGTATGATGAGGACTACTATAGGAGGGTAAGTCACCGCAGTTGGATGGGGAGCAATCTGGTCACTTTAATCAAGAGGCTCGGAGACGCTGGCGGGTGGAATACTGTTATGGAGGCAAACGCTCAAGACATGGTCGTCGCTGTCAACGACTTTTTCCACGCGATTCCAGAGGACGATAGAGTAACGCTATTTAGGGATGTAAGAGATTCTATGCCTACTTCGATGCAGGTATCAGTCAGCAAGGCATTGGGAGTTGAGTTGGAGAACGATATCTGAATCACTCACCGCGGGCAGTCACAAGAAGCTGTGATGTTTCCACAGTAGAATATTTATCAGATGCTACTGGAAATCAACCAAGTACAAGAATTGCAGACACCCTTTTTCGGCCTAATCACATCGGAAGCATTACCAATCACCTGGGTGAACTGGCACGCTTGCTATGATAGCTAACTAATGCTTTTCCTGGATAGAAGATGGTATTGGGAATAGTTCGGTCATTGCAAAAAGTGGAGTGTAAGCTTTTTGTATCCGTCGACGCTTTCCAACAATTCGTCGATGACGACATGTTCGTCCTTCCCATGAGCAACCAAAATTGTACCCGGTCCATACAGCACCTTCTTATGCGACCCTTTGAGTCTCGGAACATCTGTTCCGTAACTGACTGGGGCGGACTCGAACCCTTCAATGTCGAAGTCTAACAGAGTTTCGGGGTATTCAAATTTGAAGTCAACTTCAACTCCCGGAAACTCTTGCACAACACTCGCAATCTGTTTCTTGATCTGGGGTAGATCGGCAGCTACACGAACCGCACACAAGGCCTTTGCCTCCGCAGCCACGACGTTGTACCCGGCTCCTCCTTCAATCTTGCCCATGTTGAAGGTCGAGGGACCTAGTAGATCTGAAAAGGGCCAATCCGTCGTTTCCAATTTGCTCATGGCTTTGATCAACAACGATATGGCGTTGCTCCCTAGATGGGGGTAGCCTGAGTGACTGCGTAGCGTGTTAGAGCCAGCGTCCAGTCGTTGAAACTCCCACGAAACCTAACTTACCAAGCCTTTCCAGTCGCCGTCAACTCGAACACAACATGGCCTTTGTGACCTTTCCCCAACTTTCCCTCAGTAGGCTCTCCGAAGATGCCAGCCTCCCAGGTTAGGCCCATGTCGTTGGCAGCGATCATCCCCGGGCCTCCCTTCTCTTCGCCCACGACGAAAAGAAAACTGATGTCTCCATCTTTGATCTTGCCTTCCTTTCGGAGCTCCTCGACTGCCATGACTTGAGCGGCTAGAGGGCCCTTATCATCACAAGCTCCACGGCCTCTCACTATCCCCGCGTCTAAGTCGATCGATAGCGGGATGTGGGGCGGCACGGTGTCCATGTGGCAGGTTAGTAGGATGCGCGCCTCCCGCTTAGCGCCCAAATATGCATAAACATTGTGTCGTGTTGAGTCCGGTGCAATAGCGATTCTCTCAACCGTATACCCAAGACCTTTCATGTAGTCCTCCAAAAATATGCCAACTTCAAGCTCTTCGTCGCTGGTGCTTTCGACTGACATGAGCTGTGACAGTAACTCCACAACCGGA